GCCCCTGCTCTCCCAGCCCTGCTGCCGCTGCCCTGCCTGAGAGATCCGAGCTGCAGATGTGTGCCATGGTTGGATCATCTCTGTACCTCACTGCTCACACAGCTCCCCAGAGACCCGCCTCTTGCCTGTGCAAGCTGTCAGAAGCTGCACATGTACCAGCCTCCGGTGTGTGAACATACCTGCTCTGAGTGTGCAGAGTGGCACGTCAGTGAGTGCTTGTCCCAACGCATGCTGTGTGTGAGGAACTGCGTCACTGGCTGCACGTGTGACGTGTCCCATGTGACCTGGCAGCCCTCAAGTGGGGAAAAGTCATACAGGCAGGTGTCTAGGAAGCCATTCGCTGAAGGTTTCCCTGCTGCCTCCTGGGAGTTGCCCACAGGGTCCCCTGGGCCCTGGAAGGAGCCCAGCAAGGGCCATTCACCTGCCACAGGGCCCAGACCATCTGGGAACTTACTTAATGAGAACAGCCAGCATTATGTCTGTCTCCCTCTGCCTCCCACCGTGAGACCAGACATTCCTCACCTCCATCCAACAGCTAATTTGCATGTTGGCCCCTGCAGGCCCTCCTCCAGGAGTTGGAAAGACCCGTGTCCTGGAACTCCCCCAAGAATGGTTGAACGCACTTGGGCATCAGGTGCATTAAAAAGTATGTGGGTATGGCAGGGTGGGGGCACCCTGGGAGAATGGCTGTCCCTGAGCTCCCTGGGCCTGGACAAGGTCCCTGCCGGTCTGCTGTGGGGCAGGTGTTGCCATTTCTCAGCCCAGTGTTTTCTCAGCTACCAGAGCTTCCAACTCAGAAACTGTAGGTACTGTTGGAGTTGGGGCCCCCAAGTCTGCTGAGAAACTTGGAGCCTAGCAGCTCCCCTCGCATGGTGCAAAGGTTGCTGATGCTTCGGAGCCTGGCCAGAGTGGAGGGGTGGGGGAGTGTCCCTTGATGGAGCCCAGCCTGTGTTCAGAGGCAGCCGGGCAGCAGCAAGCGCTGCAGATGCACGCGGAAAGGATAGCAGGGAGTTCAAGGATTTGTAGCGCCTTGTAAAAGGCTTAAAGGCAGCAGCCGGCCGAGTAGGGCTCCTGTGGCAGAGGGCGACCTCTGCTGGCCGCCTGACACTTGCCATTTCCAGCACCTGGCCGCCTGGTCTGGGGGAGTCGTCCCCCTCTCCCTGCTGGGGCTGGCACAGCCTTTGCACATGTTGGGTGGAATGCAGAGCGCATCTCTGTGGACCCAGTCACAGCCCAAGGTGGGAACAGCCAGGAGGTCAGGCCACCAGTCCTTGAGGAGTGGGAAGGATAAGTTCCGCTTTCAGCCTCCTGGCTGGGTGAGCATGGGAGAGGAGATTCACCACTTGGAGCTTTTCAGGATTCAGAAACCAAGCTCTGCCCGAGGCCTGAGTGTAGCAAGTGCGACGCAAGGACTCCAGCCCCTGTCCCACCCCATCCACCCCATGCCTCCTCCAGCCATATACCTCTCCATGCCCTAGACTCCTCACTCAGCTTGCAAAGGCTTGGTCGCTCCTCACTCTGGGGACTATAGGCTTCTGTCCCACCCACTCCTGGTGTTTATAACCCCAACTTCACTGCTGGTCTCAGCCGTTTGAACACACGTGTCCACTGCGGATACCTCCTCCATCTGCCCCATGTATCCTTTTATAGACTAAGGGATACAGGTTGCCTAGTTGTCTCTGGGATCTGTGCTGCCAGCTGCATATCCCGTCTCCTCCCCGCCACCCCAGTCATGCAGGGGTCCTGGGACACCGCCACCTTCACTGGGCTCTGACCAACTGCAATTCTGGTCTGGGAGGAAAGCTCCTGAGGTCTGGACCCTTCTGTTCTGCACTCCAAGGGGCAGAAACCCAGGGGCCGGCACAACATTCCTCCCGCCCCAGCTGAGGAGCTGCAGGTACTTTCTGGGGAGAGAAAGCCAAGGAAGGTCTTGGATGGCACCTGGAACCTGCCACCAGCCCACCAGTCTCCAGCCCTCTGGGCGCTTTAGGCTTGCCAACACCGCCCCCTGCTGGCTGGCTCAGCACTGCATGGCCTTTGTCCGGGTTGGCTGCGGTTGCTGCCTTGGGTGCCGGGGTGAAGCTCACGCAGGCGTGAGTTTCTTTGTATTTCCCTGTGTGCTTCTCAAACCAGGAACTGACTCAGACCTTGGTTTAGTTGGTCCCTTTGCTTCAGCCTTCCTTTCCTGGCTGTTTTGAAAATCACAGTCTTGTATTGAGGCCCGAGCAGCCAGTATGCACCCACACACGGCACGGACCAGACTCTTTGCTGCCCTCTGTACCACATAGTGCCTGGAAGACCACCAGGGCTCCTTGGCTCCCCTGGGGGGGCGGCTGGCACTTGGATGGCATCCCCACAGGTGGCTGTGGCTTGCTCTTGCTTCCCCATGGCAGTGCCTGGCCCCAGGGCCCTTGGTCGTAGGTGTGCTAGCTGGGGCTGTGTGCAGGTAAACTCGGAAGGAAGGAGTCTGTCCCTAATTGGAGGGGACCTGTGAGATGAGAGGGGGAGGTGCATCCTCCCCGCCACCTTTCCCTCAACACACACCTTTCCCTCCTCTCCTGCCTGGCAATACCACAGCAGCCTCCAGCATAGCCTCTTGGCCCCTTCTTACTCCCTGGCTAAAGGCAAAGCCAGCATTCTGGAACCAGCCCTCACCCAACAAGCATCATGTGATGTAAGCCTCAGTGTGGATTGCTGCAACAGTGTCCACCTGTGCCCCAGAGCCTGCACCTGACTCCTAAGGAGAACACAACCAGTCATGGCCTAACAGGTGCCCTGCTGGGGATACACGCTTGGATCTAGAACTCTTGGAATTCAAAGAAATAGTTTCGTTATCATCTCTTCCTGTCCCTCTGGTCTGGCATAGGAGCCTGGATAAAGTATTTTCTGAGAGAGTAGAAGCATGGGCAGGTGGTAAGTGGAAACTAAAGATGCTTAAGTGAAAGGAAGGGAGAGTGGGAGAGTATGGATGACCTGTGGGTTAGACCAAGGATGACAGTGCAGCTCGATGTTGTGTGTGATGGGTGGCAGTGGAAGTCGAAGGAACAACCGTGACACAGTGTGCACCCTGAGCCTCTTGCGGGAAAGCTCCAAGATGGAGCATGCTGAGAAATTCCAGCGCCCAAACCAGCCACAACACCACCCCCCGAGAGTATGTCCTCATTAATTCACACACATGCAAGGTGCTGGCGTGCACCTGCGCTTCTCACAGTGCTGCTTGTGGCATTGGCCATGTACACACAGCTCCGGGCTCCCTGTCCTCCTGGGCGGAGGACAGAGCACCACGCCCAGCAGGGTTTTGAGAAGATAGAGCCATGCGTCTTCCATCCCTTTGGAATACTGCACTGGCATTTCGAAATGAAAGGGCTCTCTATGTGTCCATGTACAATGAACTTGGAGATGTATTATTAAGAGGGAAGAAGCAAGGTCAGGTGGCACATGTGGATAGTTGCTGCTGTTCGAATCGAAGCAGACAGGGTGGCGGACAGCACACATCGCTCCTCAATGCTGGGAGGGGAGACAGGACGAGGGCGGCAGTTCTCCCAGGAAGACGCTGCACTGAGGCTGGGGACTGGGCTGTGACTGTTCCCTAGAGGTTTTTATGCATTTCAAAAGGCTGTTAATTTACCTCGGAGACAGGCAGAACTTCCATCTTCCCCATTCACCCCCTAAAGCTCACAGGGAAGGGCCAGGGCTGGGCCAGACCAAAGCCAGAAGCCCAGATGCTATCCAGCTCCCAGGTAGGGACCAGGGACCCAGCTTCCCGAGTCATCACTGGCTGCCCCTCAGGGTGCACATTAGCAGGAAGCTGCAATCAGGAGAGGGTGCTGGGACTTGAACCCAGGTTCTCTGATGCACTAAGCCCACAGCACCCCACAGACTTTTGGCCTTTTGAACCCAGCAGTGAATTTACCTTTTCAAGCAGCAATGGGACTAGGAGTTATGTAGTCAAGAAGCCCGTGGGCAGAAGCAGGGTTTTCCTGCCAAGGAAAAGCGGCCAGGCTGTGCTGTTGGATCCCTTGAGGGATTGATGCTAACTGTTTGGGACTTGGCACATCTTGGGGACTCAGTTTCCTCGGCTGTAAAGTGGGGAGACATTCATAGCCTTACAGAGAGGACATGGAGGGTGAAGGCCCAAATGCAGGTGACAAATATACATGAGACCTTCAAGGGCATGGCCAGGGATGGTGGGGGCGGCACTGGGGCCAGTGTGGGAGTGTAACAGAGAGGACTGGGGGTCTTGTACCTGCTGTCCAGCATACAGATGTGACGATACTCTGTAGCTTGTGGCATCCACTGCGTATGGGAGGAAAGCCAAGGACTCCTGGACCAAGGGTGGACCAAAGCTGTACCAGCTCTTGGAACCCTCCCTTCCTGAGCCCCGTGGTGCAGAAGGACCAGAGTCCCCCGCCCCACTCAGCATGCCCACAAGGCTCAAATGCTCAGTGACGGCGCACCCATGGGTGGGCTGAGGGCCGGTAATTGGGAGTCCTGACCCCACACTGGGCTCAGACACCAGCCAGCTGCCTCTCACTGAACCTCCTCTTAGCGTCCCTGCCTGGGGCCAAGTCCCACCTTCCTTCTTTCCCAAGAGGACAAAGTGACAACGCTGGAGCCACGTGGGATCTGGCACAAGTGTGTGATCCCTGTGGTAGGAGAGCTGATGTTGAGGCTGCAGTGATGTTAGTGGCAGGCCATGCCCCATGCATGCATGAGTGCGTACGTACGTGCCAGTGTCCCGACGTGTACACATTGCTGCATCGTGGGAGCTCGCCCTGAACCAAGAATCCAGCGCGTGGTACAAAACACATACACTTCGTGTGCACCTCATAACATCTGGCACCCTCACAGGCCACATGCAGGGAGCAGCCAGTAATGCCTCCTGTCAGCCCTGTGTGCCTTCCACGTGGCCCTAGAGGGACGAGCAAGGGGAAGTAGGGCCTCTGGTGTGAGGTCGGCAGGCCTGGTGCCACCCTGACCCATCTGTCCTCTCTCCACAGGCTGGACCACGTTCATGGCTCTCGGGTAGAACTCAGTGAAACGGCCAGAATGAATTCTATGGACAGGCACATCCAGCAGACCAATGACCGACTGCAGTGCATCAAGCAGGTGAGTGTGGCCGGCGTGGTGAGGGCAAGGAACAGCAAATGGGCGTGGCTGGGCTGGTGAGGGACGGGCAGAACAGGTAGGTGTGGCTGGGCTGGCAAGGGCAGGGCAAAGCAGAAGTACAGGCTGGGCTGCATAAAGGTGAGGGTGGGCGAGGGCAACCATCACCACGCAAGGGGAGGCACCGCCCACGCTGGCATCACAAGCCCCTGGTTTCAAGGCTGCTACTGTCCTTTCCCAGCTGTGTAGCTTTAGGCCACTGTGGTGACCCCTCTGGTCTCTGCTGTGAGGACGTGGTATCCACATAGCTAACCCATCACTCCCTCCCCTTCTGCTCGGCCGTTCTCTGCAGAAGTACATTTCACAGGAAGGGAAACTGAGGCAGGGAGGATAAATAGTTCCATGCTCAGCCCTGCTGGCGTGTGGTGGATATGCTCATCGGGCACCCTCAAGGAAGGGTGTCCCACCCCCCTGCCTGGGAGGGCTGGCGAGGAGCTGGGCTGGTGGGAGAGATACTGGGGCAGAGGTCACAGAGTCCCATGCTGAGAGCCAGGGCCCTGGTGCAGGCTCCCCAAGGTGCCAGTCTCAGGGAACTGAGGCTGCTGTGTCGCATGGGGCCGGGGATTCTCTCATTAGCATCCAGTAGAGCAGTCTGGGCAGCCTGGGTGAGGACTGAGGGGAGGAAATTGAAGAAGCCTTGTTACAGATTGAACCCAGCCGGAGAGCTCTCCCCAGAGCCAATTATGCGCCTGTGCTCATGGCCATGGAATAGAAACCAGACACTGCTCTCCCCCTCCCAGGCAGGCACGGCTCTGCCTTTGACCCAGTTCCTGCTGCCTGTGCCTCAGCAGGCAGTGACCCTTGCCCCTGGCAGTCCGGTCATGCCCCAGTCTGGGAGCTCCTCCGGGTGCCAGGCACGCTGCTCCTGCACCCAGCTCTGAGTCACCAGGAATGCAGCTGCCCTTCCCTCCTAGGGCCCACCCCTGAGTCCAGCATGAGTTCCCCAGCTCCCATGTCCTCATCAGTGAGCCTGAGGCCCGAGCCTAGCACTCAGAAGCTGCATCTGTAAAATGGGCATTCTATTGAATTGACTTGTGGCCAGTGAGCATGGAGCCCCAGCCCAGCCCTGCATGTGTGCGCGTGCGCACACTGGCCTCTGCCTCAGGAGCAGCCCGCACTGAGTTTGGTGAGCATGCCAGGCTCTCCTAGTGTACCCTTCGTGCCCCGCATCCCTCCTCCCACACCTCCCATCACACACAGATGGGGGTACTGGCCGTGGGCTGTTCACGCTGGCTGAGAACTGTGGATTCTCAGACCTGACCTCAACAGAGAGGCCTGTGCCTCCGCGCTGGCCGTCTGTGAAGGACGTGTCCCTGCGGTGGACCTTGGGCTGCCACTGACACCTCACAGCCTTGGACTCTGTCTCAGCTCTGTGGCGCAGCCTGTGCACCCGGGTTCTCGCCGCTCCTGGTTCCTTACGAGGTCAGCTGCTTTCCCTCCACCCCCAGACTCACGGTATGGAGACAATCATTTCCGCCTCATGCACCCCCATTCAGAAGCCATGCACACCTCTGACTCCGTGTGGGGAGCCTGCAAGGTCCCATTCCTGCCCCCGGATTTGCCCTGAGCTCAGATGCTGCCTGGCGCTCAGCATCCTCTCCCAGCCTGTTCTCCCTTGGGCTATAGGACCAGCAGGACCTATGTGTCCCACTGAAGCTATACCACATTCACCATCCCCTCCGTTTAAAAAAACATTTATTTGAAAATAAATAATGGCAATGAAGGTGAGAAAGAGACAGGGATCTTCCAATTACTGGTTCGCTCCCCAAAGGTCCACAATAACCAGGGACTGGGCCAGGCTGAAGCCAGAAGCCAAGAGCTTCGTCCAGGTCTTCCACGTGGGTACAGGAGCCCTAGCAGTTGGTCCATCCTCTACTGCTTTCCCAGGCTCATTAGCAGGGAGTTGGATAGGAAGTGGAGCAGCTCGGACATGAACTGGTGCCCACGGGGGTGCTGGACCTCAAGATGCTAAGGCTTTCACCTCTCAGTCAGCAGAAGCCAACAGAAAACCCAGCCCCGTGTGGGGAGGGCCAGTCAGCTAGATGGATGCATCAGGCTGTATGGGTGGATGGATGAACAAATCGGTTAGATCGGCGGGTGATGCTAGAGTAAATGGCTGCATGGGTGAAGGGATAGATTAACTTTTGGATGAATGAGTGGAAAAAATAGATGAATGAGTAGATGGGTGAGTAATGAATAAAGTAATGAATGGATGAGTGAGTTGTTGGGTAAGTGAATGGATTCATTTTGGATGGGTGAATGGATGGATGGATGGGCTCGTGGGAGGACGGGTGACCATAAGGACCATTTGGTTCACAGATGGACTAAGAAGATGAATTCATCCCTTCAGAGTAGCTGGTCCCTGATCGGGGTGTTGGTGTGTCTTGCCCCAATAAACTCGGCAGCCACTGCATAGAAACAAAATCACTAAGCCTTCAGATAGGGACAGGGCATAAGTGTCCAGCAGAGGCTGCGGCCAGGGCTCCTGTGAAACAGTGACTCCCGGGAGCGTTCCCATGCCTGCCTATCTAGGGCTGCCTGCTCTTGCCCTCACCCAGTGCTGGCCCCTCCACGCTCCACAAGGCCCCGGGCCAGGTTTCTAGCCTCCTCAGTAGTTAGACCATCCTGGATAGTTACTTGTCATGTGCATCCGTGGTAGGCAGGAGGGGTGTCCCCAGCCTGTGCCAGTCTTTAGGGTTTCAAAAGTACTGTTCCCTCCCCCGAGGCTTTCCTGAGCGATACAAGAGGCCTTAGCGAGCCCGTGCACAGACAGCAACAGCAGTCTCCCACACCTGCTGTCACATCTCCCTCACCTATCTTGCTTCTCCCCAGCTGTGCGGCAGCCCTGCAAGCTGTCACCACCCCACCCTGCAGGTGAGGCCTGTGGAGTTCTGTAATGTCCTGAGGACTGCGGGCCCCATGGCTGAGACAGGGCGTGGACCAGTGTGACTTGCACCTGTAAAGGGAGATCTCCTGATCTCCCCGTGTCTTGGCACTGCAGACACCTTGAGAGTCAGACAGGTGCACAGACAGGGCAGGGGGCATGGCCAGGGTGGCGGCAGAGCAGGTGTGCCACAGACCATCTGAGGGTGTGCCTAATGTTCTTTCACCTGCTGGCTGGGGTGAGGGCAAAGGGCCTTGGAGACCGGCAAGAGATGGAAGGTGGGGTGCTCATGTAGTGCATCAAGGCGGGGCCCCTGAGACAGGCTCCCAGAGGTTGCTCACAAACTCCAAGCCCTGGAGTGGGTACAGCGGCCACCTGTGGGCATGTGACTCTGAGAGTAGCCCACAATGGCTGCTGACCCTGCTAATTGGATGTGACATCATGTAAATAAACGGAACAACTCAGTTAGCAGAGGGGCAGGAGTCTGTCAGGCAGGAACGAGCTAATTTGCACAACTTCACACGTGGAGCCCAGATGCTGCCATGGCCTGTGCGGGTGGCACATTGCGCGGGCAGGCAGGGCAAGGGCAGGCAGCAGAGGTGAGCATGCCTCTCCACACATAGGGTCCTCTTGCTTTGTGCAAGTCAAGTGCGGTGCAAGGGGTGGCACTGTTACAGAGGGGCCGGAGCTGAGAGCTTTCCTTCAGGTGGAAAGAGGACCCTCTGAGAGGAGCCAGCCCCCTGGCTCAGGGCAACACAAGGTGGGACCACCCCATGTGCCATGCTTGCACCCGCACCCCAGGCCCATGATGCAGGCCGTGTTGTTGTTCGTTGGCTTTCTCTCCAGTATAGAGATTTATTCATTTTCATTTCAAAGGCAGATTTACAAAGAGAAGGAGAGACAGAAAGAAAGATCTTCCATCAGCGAGTTCATTCCCCAAATGGCCACAACAGCTGGAGCTGAGCCAGTTTAAAGCCAGGAGCCGCAACCCTCTTCCAGGTCTCCCATGTGGATGCAGGGTCCCAAGGCTTTTGGGCTGTCCTCTACTTCTTTCCCAGGCCACAAACAGGGAACTGGATGAAAGTGGAGCGGCCAGGACCTAAACAGGTGCACGAACCACGTGAAAGCACCACAGAACTGTAAACAAAACAAAAGCAGCTCCCCGCCAACATGCCCTGCTGTGTCATGCCCATCTCACTGACGGGCTGAGGCCACCAAAGGTGACAGGACTGGCCTAGGCAGGGGGAGGCCTGTGGGGGATGCACAGCACACTCTGTTCCCACCCAGTTCTAGCACCTGCAGCTGCTGGGCCCTTGCCCACCTTGGCTATGAAGCCCAGAATGCTGCTGGGGGGTCAGAGCCACTGCCCCAGGTGTCTCCCAGCTCCAAGGTGACAGGGACCTTGGGAGGTACCACAGCTGGTCTACACACTGCCCCCAGGAACATGTATTCTCTTGAGGATACATGGAGGTTACAGCGAGTCACCCATGGGCTAGGGTCCCAGACCTGCCCTCTCTCTCTCTGTGCTCTGCTTTCCAGACAAGTCATTCATCTCACAGACTCGTGACAGATTCAGGGAGCCTGGGAAAATAGGATAGCTTTGGCCTGGGAGCCACCCTGCCCTGTAGCCCTGGGGCCTAGGCCTGAAGCACATTTGGGGAATACTGCCAAACATTCTTACCCCACAGCTGAGGTCTTTGGATTCAGAGTGTGAAGGGCCCACGTTCAGGCCTGAACCCTCCCCAGCAAGGGCAGCAGCCCCTGAGCCGAGGCTGTGTGGCCTGGGCATGCACGCTCACTAAGCCACACATATACCCGCACCAAATAACGCTACCAAAACACTGTGTCGGGAGCTCGCTGCCCACCCTTTGGGCTGCTCAGAAGGCCGAGCTGATGGGAGTTCACACCTGGGGTTGAGTGGGGCAGGGAGGGCACCACAAGTTAAGCCACTGTCTGTGACTCTGGTGTCCCAAATGCAAGTCCAAGTTCCTCTTGTTCCACTTTTGATCCAGCGCTATGAGCACATCTAGAAAGCAGAACATGATCTGTGTGCTTGAACCCCTGCACCCACATGGGAGACCAGGAAAATCTCCTGGCTTCTGACTGGCCCATGTGAGGAATGAATCATGGGTGGAAGAGATCTCTCTCACAAACAAATAAAAATTAAAAAGAACAAAAGAAAGGAAGGAATCTTCAGCCTGTTCCATATCAGGGAGATGCTGCCATGGCAGCCAGATGGTGCCAGGCAGCCCCGAGAGAGGAGTTTCCCTCCCATCAGGAGACCCCTGAGTAACCAGCGCCCCTGGCTCTCTCTAGACCTTGGTCTTCCTGACTTCCTAGTAAGGCTGCAACTCCGCATTCCACCACGGTGGGGCGGGGCATGCAGGCGGAGGGCAGGTGGGTGAGGAGCTGGAGCAAGCTTGGTGGCTGTGACCCACCTCACGGGCTTCCCACAGCCTCACACGGCCTCCTCTTCTTCCCTTACAGCACCTCCAGAATCCTGCCAACTTCCACAATGCCGCCACGGAGCTGCTGGACTGGTGTGGGGACCCACGGGCCTTCCAGCGACCCTTTGAGCAGAGCCTCATGGGCTGCCTGACGGTGAGTTCATGCCTACTCTGCTCAGCCTGGGATCAGCAGCAGGGACCAGCTAGGGCTCCAGGGCATGCCAACTGCTGGGGAAGCCTCGAGGGGGGAAGAGGAGAGAGAGAGAGAGCGCCCCACCTCCATGTGCTCACCCCCACCCCAGGAGGGGGTCCTTGCTCTTGATAGGAGACATATGGGTGGGGGTGGGGGGGTCGGTGTTCCATGAAAAACAGAGAAACTGTCACCCATGCGGGCAGCATATCTTGCATTCTTTGTAGAGTCTCCCTCCATCTCTATGTAGTGACCCCGTGTGATGTCTGTCTGTCTGGTCAAATACACCTGTGCCGATCCCACTTTGATCAGGTCTGATCCATTCTGCTAAGTCCTCAGAAAGCAAAGGAGACCAGCAAGCTCCTTAGGGATGACTGGGGAAACCATAGACGAGGAGAAGGCAGCACAGGACGGAGCCTTTGCTGCCCGGGCCATGGAATGGGCACGGCAGCAAGGAAAGGAACCACTGGCTCCCATGCCATTGTTTGCCCAGCAGCTGCAGCCAGCAAGAGCCATGCAGGCCTGTGGAACGTCAGGTGCAGAGGCCCTGGCGTGCAGCAGTACCAGATCCAGAGGCCACTGGAGAGGAGAGGAAAGGAGGATGGCTTGTTGGCTGCCACACCACAGCCTGCGGATAGCCACAACTTCGAGGGCCAGCAAGCCCTGGGGGGAGAGTGGATGCATTGCTCACCCCCAAGCTTCGAGAGCAGTGGCCAAAAAGATGGCACTGAACAGGCCAGAGCCCAGAGGAAACACCAGGGGCTGAGGAAACAACAAAACCCTGTCCTCAGCCTGAGGCTGAGTGGGCCTGCCAGCCTCAAGGAGTCCACTCGAAGTGGTGTAGGCAGGGGTCCCATGACCTTCTCACTCTAATTCCCAAAGTCCCATAGCCTCAGCAGGGGGCCAGACGGTCTTGTCTCTTAGGGATGCCAGATGGGTACAGTACCCTGACCCTCTGGGGGCACCTCTGTGTGTCTTCCCCTCCCCCTCCTCCCATTCCCTCCAATCCTGTTTGTGGAATCCTGGTTTGGGCTAAGCCCGGGGACTGGGCCGGATGTTGCCAGCAGCGTCCTTGCTCCCAGGCTGATTGGGACCTGTCCCTAGGCCCTGTCACTCATCTGTCTGTTCCACAAACATTCGCTGAGTCCCTGCTGTGAGCAAGGGCTGGGCAGTCTCCTGAGGAATGCAGGCAGGGGCAGGTCAAGCTGTGTGGCCAGAGGCACGGAGTCAGCTCTCCTGGGCCTCTCCCATAGCACCCAGCAGAAGGCTGACCTGACTGTGAGGCCCAGGAGATCCAGGGGCAGAAGGGACATGGGACAGCTGTCACCAAAAATACTGTTGGGGCTTAGGGTAGTTTCCTGGCCTGCCACCACAACCTTGGGTCAGTCCTTGCAGATGGACAGGGAAGGAACCACCAGTCCCACTTTATCACCAAGACAACCAAAAGAAGGAGGCAGCTTATAGCTATTCTGGGCTGCTAGGAATGACCCCCCAGGGGACCCCTGGACACTGCTGCCAGTCCCCACTTTCCTCTCCCCAGTGCTGCCCAGGAGGAAGGGCAGATGTGATCAAAGAGCCCACAGGACTAGGAGAGGGCAGTGGTTAGACCACCCACCAACACACACATGCATCAGTACACGTGTGTGCACACATGCAGGGGTGCACACATGTGCATGCACACACCCCCTCCTATCCAAGTGACAGCGCATCCCTTCTGGCAGCTGCAGTCCCCTGGGTAACCTTCCCAGTTCCCCTGGCCGGAGCTCACTCTGAGGACAGACATGAAAAGCACGTAGCCCTGGCAGCCAAGGGAGTCTTTTTTTTTTTTTTTAATTGCTTTCTCCCCCCCCCCTCCCCTTTTTTTAAAATAATCTTACTTATTTGATTAGGGTACAAAGGGTCGGGGGCTACAGGAAAGTGGGTAATACTATTGCTTTCACACTAATATCATTTTTTCCCCTGTATCTGGGGTCAGGGGAGAAACAAAGGGAAAAACCGCACCCAGCCTCCCTCCCATCCCAGGTCCCCGATGTGAGGCACGCTCCAAGGGTCCTGCTCAAGCAGTTTTAATAGTTCAACAGTTCTGAATTGCTGCCAATCTCGCCATTCCAATTGCAAAGAAACCTATTCAGAATTCACTGGCTGACATAGTCTCTTCATGGTTGGGGTTCTGAAATCAGCAATTCAGTTGGAGGGATCTCCAAAGAAACTTCAGCTGAGATGACCCCAAACCTGATTCTTATGTCAGTTTGCCAGTACAGGGTCTGGCACAGTCCGTCGCCCCAATCAGCTTATGCACATGCTGGTGGTTGCAATTGCTGGGTCAGTTGTGTTTCCAGCCCTGTCTTCCACTTGAACCAATGGCTGTTGTAGTCCAGCTCGATCCTACCCACTTCATACTCGGACCTCACACAAACCAGTAGGAGCTGCAGCCTGGTTGGGGTGACTCCCCATAACCCCCACCAGGCCTGCTCCCTACCCTGGTCAAGAGAGCCATTTTTACCACCCCAGCTTGGAGCAGCAGCTGTGGAAGGGACCCCCAGGGTGTCGGCAGCCCTGTAATCCCCAGGCACACACAAGTGCAGGCGCTAGAGGAGAAGGGGTTCCTCCCAAGGGGCAGGGCATTGGTCCTGAGCTGCCACTGCCCCTTCGGGACCAGCCCCTTCCTGACCCCGCCAGGGTCTCCCTCCTGGCCCTTCCTCCAGCACATGGACTGAGCCACCACTCTGGGTGTCCCCTGACAAAATCTGGCCCCTCCAGACCTGAGGGGGAACAGGCTCAGGAGAACACATGGGCTGATGGGAAGCACACAGTCAGCTCCTCAGCGGCCTCCTGCCTGTCCCCAGCAGAAACCCAGTCTTCCGTTGCTGCTGCTCAGGCCCCCGCATGCCCCTTCAGCAGGGTGCCTGATCCTGGCCTGTGGTCCCAGCAAGGAGGGCTTTTGGTACCCATTTCACAGATGAGGAAACTGAGGCCTAGACAGGTCCCATAGCACTCGCTAGAAACACAGCCTTAGTCTCTGACTGCCAAACTGCAGCAGCCCCAAGGACAGGTGCCCCAAGTGCCACCACCTTGTTGAGTGCAGCAGTGAAGCAGATATGAGGGCTCTGCGCAACACGGTTTAGGATACAGGTGCTACCAGGACATAGAGACCATCAGAAGTCACACACACACACACACACACACACACACACATCTCCCCTTCCTCTGTGTCGTGCCTTGAGAGAGGAGAGGAAGTTAAAGCTCGGAGAAGTTTAGTGACCTGTATCCCAGAGAAGGTGGAATAGGGGCAGAGCATGGGGCTGATACCCCTGCAAGTCTTCTGTGTCAGCCAGAAAGGCCTTGGGGTTCAGTTATCCCACACAGAACTTTCTCCAGCTTGTCTCAGGTAGCCTGCCCTGCTTCCTGCCTGCAGACTCCCTGCCTTCCACAGTGCACCCCCACTTTGAGCCTAACTGGCTGTAGAACCTCAAGCAGGTCCCCTCTCTAGACTCCCTGGGCTGGGGTCTGGGTGCTTGTGTTTGCCAAACCCAACCAACACACACTGGCCTGTGTCACTTGCCTCCTGGGCTGGACCTGCAGAGCCTTGGGGAGCCAGCAGAGGGCAGCAGTACTGCAGCCACTCACCTCTGCCCTCTGAAGGTTGGAGGGGGAGTTTCCTGTCCCCTGGGAAAGAGAGCGGGCTTCTCAAATCATGAGCTGCTCCCCTGGCCAGCCCACTGTCTCCACCACTGCCTGTCATAGGGATGCTTACAAGAAGCCCTGGGCAGCCAGGGACTGGCAGCACAGGAAGGCCCCTAGGGCCAGCTTTGCTTTGCTGTGCCACTCCGGGCTGTGACCCCAAGCCAGGTCTTGTCTTCTTTGTCAGGAGCCAATGGCCCTTCTGCATGCCAGGGCTTAGGGGCCTGGGTGACAGCAGACACTCCCTGCTCCTTTCCCCATGAGCCCTTGCAGCCTGCACACAGCACCAGCTACCTCTTGCTCAACTTTTCCATTGTTGTGACAACCAGAGCAACAGGATTAGCCAGTATTGACCCTGTGCACAGGGACCTTTGCCTTCGTGCCCTGGCCCCAGAGCCCTCAGGGTCCTTGCACAGCCAGGCCTTAACCCTTTTCTGCTCTGAAAAAGACTTGGCAGCCAGCCCGCCCCTTGCTCCTTTTGAAGCCGGTGGTTGTCACACCCGACTCTCACTGTGAGAAGCTGATTGCAAATGAAGCTTGCACTTGGTCCCCAGACCTGGCCACCATTGTGCTTCTCTGAGCACCGACCTGTCCCATCAACAGCCATGTCACTGTGGCATTAGTCCTGTCATACCTGCTGAGGCTCCTGGCGGCCATCCCTCAGCTGTCACCGCAGAGGGGGTGGGGCTGGGATCCATGTCTGAGCTACAGCTCCTGCTACTGCCCAGAAAGTATCTACCTGCACAGTGGAAATAATCCCCAAGTAGGCCACGAGGACCCTGGGGTATCTGGGATAGAGGGGCAAACCGAGCATATGGGGAGAGGCCTGGAAAGTAGGTGATGTCTACATGCGAGACTTTAAACACTCTAACCTAACCAGGCTTGCACATTAGCCCGAGCTGGGTCTCTCTTGCGGGGTGGGGAAGGAAGGAGGATGAATGGAGATGCTGAGCTACACAGAGGGGCCCCAGAGCCAAGCCTGTGGCCTCTCGAGACTCCTCCCAGTGCCTGTGGAGCAGGTGGTCCATGGGGGGCCCTGACGCCCCAGCCATCCCCGGCACAGAAGTCCCAGCCCTGCTACAGCTGGGCGCTCCCTTCCGCACTCAGCCATAGCCACCCCAGCTGCTTTCCGCAATCGACGCCATTTTCCCAGCTCCTTCCTTCTTAATAAGGAAACCTAATTTCCCTGCAGTTAATGAGGAAGGCGGGTGGGAGGGAGCCGATCTGGCAGTCACAGGACACCTGGGAACGAGTTGGGATGGAGGCACGCCAGATGGGCATGAGCCGGCAGTGCCACTCACGGGTCCCCCACTGCCCACCCCCCCAGGGACTGGCACCCCTCCCAGCCTCCTGCCTCTCACCTCCCAACCCAGCTTCTGAGCTTCCCAGGGAGGCGGGTAAGACCTTTGGGCTCCTTCTGTAGATGTTCCCTCTGCCCGGCCTCCCTGCTTTGGCACTGGAGACATCCCAGCTCCAGGGCAGGGGTGCGGGGACATCCTACATGCTGGCTGTGTCCGAAACCATTAGATCTGGACCTGCCAAGACAACTGCAAGCAGGACTCAAAAATCACTCTATCGCAGGTTGATCTTTAAGCGGATGATGCTGTATGGCCCGTGAATGAGGCTCTAAATATCCAAATGGTTCTTGCCAGGGCCTCAAGGGCTGTAGGCTGCCTGGCAACAGATGCATGCCAGAGCAGCAGTCAGAGCCCCACGCCATGCCAGGCAAGCTGGCATGGACTGCCCCGTCCAAAGCTCTAGGAGTACAGGACAGGTGTAGGAGGGGCAAAGCTAGGATCCCACCACGGGCTGTGGGAGCTCAGGAGTGATGGGGATGCAGAGGGCATGGTGGGCATGAGAGAATTCCCTGGTGGTGGTAGGCAGTAGATTGAAGAGCTGGTTACACAGGCTGAGCCGCAATCCTGGTCTGGACTGCTCCAAAGGGGATGGCACAGCATCCTCTGCCCACTTCCAGAATGTGCTGAGTCTGAAAAGCAGCAGGTTCTGTTTGTGGCCTTGGGGTTGGGCCCATGAGCAGAGAGGGCCCACCGTTGGCTGAGGGACTAGCTGAATGAGGCACGAACTCTGTTTGGACTTGGGGACCTGCCTCAGCCTACCCACCTCTCCTGTTCCACCTGTGCAATGGGCACACCCACTCACTGTGGTCACAGAGGCTTTGTGGGTGGTGATTCATCCTCGCCCTTCTTCCTCTCTTACCCTTAGGTGGTCAGCCGGGTGGCAGCCCAGCAAGGCTTTGACCTGGACCTTGGCTACAGACTGCTGGCTGTGTGTGCCGCGAACAGGGACAAGTTCACTCCCAAGTCTGCTGGTAGGTGTCTGTCAGGGGCTCCAGAAATGACCCACAATGGTAGGGAGGGAACTGCATGCTAACCGGGCTGTCGGCAGCCACCTTGCTTCACTTAGGTAGGGATGAACCTCCAGGGGGGAGTAGCTGGGCCAGCAGACGCTGGAGCCAGCAGTGGGGCTGTGGCATGTCTATGCTAGGGTATAAGTGTGTTATGGAGAGCTGGTGCATGCCTTGGGCCAACAAGGGGCCAGAGGCAGGCCACACCACCAGCAGGCACTGTGCTGTTTGAGCAAGGCTCCAAGGTTGGGAGCAGGTGTAACTCTGTGTTCAGGGCCACACACAATGGTCTCATTCCATTACCATACTTTCCACTGGCATAAGCACCCTAGCCAGTCACACCCCCATTTTACAGACAAGGAAGCTGAGGCTTAGGGCTTCCCAGATCTCACAGCTGCAAAGCTGCACGCTTGAGTCAGCAGCAGGGTATTGTCCTTGGTGGCTGTGTCGCAGCATGAGGCACGCCGATCTCTCATTTGCCTTCTGCCAGTGAGGTTTGAAGCCCCTGGACTGTACAGCATTACACCTGCTCCCAACCTTGGAGCCTTGCTTAGCCAGCAGGCAAGCGCTAAGCCAGGCAGGCCTGTAACTTGCTGCGGCCATCACATCTAACCTCACGATACCTGTTTGAAAAGGCAGACACGTCATGAGACTTTCCTGGTTGGCTGGGGACATGGTCAGTCCCAGATGTAACATCAAGTGTCCAGCCTAGGTTTATTTTTGCATTACTGGTATGCTTTATTGCATGCAGCAGTTGCAAGAGGGAAAAAAAAATGACTTCCCTTGTCCTACGATGACTTAACATTGCTCAAGGTGCTGTCAGGTTTTTACTGAGCTTTCCACCTGACCTGTTGGGTGCACTCCTTTCATTACTTCTCTTCATTAGACTTGGCTAGCATGCTCACCACTGTCAAAAATAAAGAGAGAGGGAGTGCAGTTTGTTGATGGGTTTACCTGGGGACATAGACTAAATCCAGGACCCGGCATGATGGTTTCATGGCTAAATCCTCACCTTATAAGTGACAACATTGTATATGGGCTGCTTGGGAGTTCATGACCCAGCAGCTTCACTTCCCATCCAGCTCCCTGCTTGTGGCCTGGGAAAGCAGTAGTGCATGGTCCTAAGCCTTGGGATCTTACACCCAAGTGGGAGACCCAGAAGCTCCTGGTTCCTGGCTCTGGATTGGCGCAACGTCGGGCAGCCATTTGGGGAGTGAACAAGCAGATGGAAGATCAGATCTACCTTTCCAATAGAAATAAATCAATCTTTTTAAAAAAAAAAAAAAAAAAAGAAAGAAAAGAAAACTATAAATTCTTACATTTGAGAGGTCTTCAGAAATTCATCAAATTGAGTATGAAAAGTTGTCGTCATCAAAATAAGCTTATCTTTTCATTCTGTTTTCCACATAGTTTTTGGAGTGAGTGCATTTGCAAAAGATACATTTTCAGAGAATGTAAAGATCAATTCTTTGTGTATGTGAAAGCCACCATGAGAAAGAGAAAGGGCAGAGGGAAGATCCTCCACCCACTAGTTCACTCTCCAAATGGCCACAGCAGCCAGGGCTGGGTCAGGTCGAAGCCAGGAGCCTGGAGCTCCACCCAGGGCTCCCACGTGGGTGGCAGAGGCCCACGCACTTGTGCTGTCTCCTGCTGCCTCCCAGACGCATTAGCAGGATGCTAGATGGAAAGCAGAGCTGGAACTTGGTTCCAGGCATTGTGGTACAGGATACTGGTGTGATTAGTGGCGACTTTAACCTCTGCTTCACAGTACCGCTGTGTCAGTCCTGCTTCTGTGTCTAGAAACATCCTTCATGAAAACGCTCATAAGACAGCTCACAATGTGTTTCCCTAAGCCTACTCAGCCCAGGACTTGGTGGCCAAGGGAAGCCTGCGTCCTTCTCTGTGTTTACAGCTGTATGTGTTAAATTGTGCTTCACTCATTGAAAAGAGGGGATGGCGGTTGGGAAAGTCTTCCTGACTGGTAACTCCCACCGCCTGCATTGGGAGATTGCCCTTGTTCTGATAGTGTTCAGTGTAGTAATAACTGAAGTCCATAACAACTTGGACAACATAAAAGTCGCTACTTTTCAAACAGCCGTGCGTCTCTTGAGTGTCTGTTGTGAGCGGGGGTACCTGCCAAGGCTGCAATTCCGAGGGCAAGCCAAGAACAGTTGGGGCATTTGCAGTTTGGAGCCAGGGTCATCGAGTTCTGGCTACAGAGGATGTGCCACATGAGCTAGAGAGCCTGGGACTGGCTCCAGGAACACTTGGTGCAGAGAGGGGATACTGCGCAGTGTCCAGAGGAAAGCATTGATCACGTCCTGAGAGGTGTGCATGTGTGTGTGAAACCTGTGCATGTGAAAGGTCCTGGGTACCCAGGGAATGTTGTTGGGAGATGTGGGGGCAGGGCATCCTGGGAATGAGGAAGGCTTTCCTGGACCTGCAGGTTGAGAAAGAGTGAAGTGAAGAAAAGGAGGAAGTGCCTCTTGGCAGGATATGGGAGCAGCCTGTGCAAAGGCCCTGGGGTGGAAGCACAGCTGAGCAGGGCAGTGGTGCTGGGACTGGAAGAAGGTGACATGTGGCAGGGGTGAGGTTGGCACGGCAGCAGCCCCTGAGCAAGCAGGGCCCATCTCAAAAGTTGCAGTCTCTGTTCCAGAGTCATGGAAACCTGGCTTAATTTGTGTTCTCTGTGGCCACCAATGCACAACAGACTATACAGAAAGGCTGATGCGGGTGCAGGGTGCCTGGGCTGGCAGATATTGGAGAGATGAGGGTGAGGGTGATGGTGGCTGGACCAGGAGGAGTGGATTGGAGTGACAACAAAGCGGTATTTCCAAGGCAAAACCAAGCGTGAAAAAGCACAGCCCAAGAGATTGAAGGAAACCAGAACATTCCATCAACCTAGTGAGCCCAGTGTGTGGGGGCACCCACACACACACACCTGGGAGGAGGAGGAACTCGCACGGAGGTCTCTGCAGCCCGTGCCAGGCTAGCATGTGTTGGCATTCTATGTTTTGCCACCCACCACAACCAGTGCAATGAGATAGTGGGTATCATCTCCGATTATAGTGAGGAAGCTGATGTTCAGAGAGGCCCTGCCATTTGCCTGAGGCCACACAGCACCTGAACGTTAAGGCAGGGAGCTAAACTCTGCCCTCTGCCCTTCCCATCCCCACAATCTGAAGAGCTGGCCACGGACATGGGTTTAGGGCCGCCTGCAGCCACTGTAAATATGAAGGTTGAATGGTTTGCTCGGGGCAGGCAGGGCGGTGAGATGGGCAGGCGCTATGGGGAGCCCAGCAGGGACTGCAAGTTCCAGAAGCATCTCCAGCTCTGGGTCCCTCTTGCCCACGTTACCCTCCCACTCCCAGGCTGCCTAATGAGAAGACCTAATGAGGTTCAAGGTGACAGTGTGAGGGTGGGCTGAGAGTGGACAACCAGGGCGCCAGCCCCTCTGTGTGCGTGGGTGTGGGACCAGCAGCAACCTGCCCCAGAATGCGCAGCTTCGGGCTTGCATCTCAGCAGTCATGGTGGGAGCAATGTCTGGCCATGGCCTCTCAGCCAGGCCTCAATGGTTAGAGCTTGCCCTGGGTGCACTGAGCCACCAACTGAGACCTTGTCACCCCTCTGCCTGACTCCGTGCCCGCCTGAGCCCCGACTCTGAACTTGCAACCCCCTACTCCTTACTCTCCGAGGGCCTCTAGTGTCTGTTGCTCTCGGTGTAGTCCCTTCCAGCAGCCCTTGTTCATCTCTAGCTTTTCTTCTGCCTATCTGGGTGTCTCCATGGCTCACACTCTCTTGTGTACATAGTGTGTGGGCCGTGGGATATCCATGCGTGGCACCTGTGACCCTGTGGTGTGCATTTCCGTGTGTGTGTGTGTGTGTGTGTGTGCATATCTCTGCCTATGTGCATGTGTTTGTGTGGGCAGATTCAAAACCACGTGCTTCTGTGTGGCCGTGTGTGGCTGTAGGAGGATGGTTGTGTATGGCTGGTCTGGGTGCTGTGCATGGGTGTGTGGCGTATGGGGGTGTGGGGCTGCTGGCTGTGTATGCCGTGTAGTGTGCAGCTGTGTGCTGGGGGGGTGTGTCTGGTAATGTGTGGGGGTGCATGATGTGGGGGGGGGTGTATGGTTGGGGTGGGCCTATGTGCAGGCTCTGTTTCTGTGCGTTTGCCCGCGTGCGCACCCCGCCCCCATCCCTCCTCCGTCTGCCTCCTGCCCCTTCTCCTTTTGCAGGCCGGGGCTGGTGGGCGGGATGAGCTCATGCCGGCAGAAAGGAGGGGAGAGGTGCTTTGTCAGGCGCGCTGGCGGCGAGCCGGACTAGGCACGCACACGGCGCCGGGGGGCTGCGGCGCAGGAGCCGGCCGGGCAGTGCTGCGCAGGTTGTGCGGCAGCGTGTTTGGGAGACAGTAGCGGGGAGCGCGCAGGAGCGGGAGCGCAGTGTGGACGTTGCCGCAGCCGCCCAGGCAGGCGCCTCCACGTGCGCCCCTCCGATATACCCAGCCCCCAGCTCTTTGTTCTGGCGCAGCCTTTAGCCTCTGTGCGCGCACACACGAGCGCACGGGAGCACGCGTCGTCGCGCGCGCACGCACCGGCCAAATCCTCCGTGGGAGGCTCTTGGGGAGTCTGCTGCGCACCCCCGCCCCAGCCCTTGCAGAAGGTCGCTTGCCCCCAGACTGCACCTGGGGGTCTCCCCTTAATAGCCTGCCCCGCCCCCTCCCACCACCGGTACCAGCCCTAAGCGACTTTGCAGCCTGCGCCGAGATGTCTGCCTCCTTTTGCACTGTGTGCTCCCACACCTGCTGGCCGCGTGGGCGCTCAGCATCAGGCAAGCAGTCGCCATGCCCTGCTCTCAAGAGCGCTCTGGATGCCTCTGTTGCTGTCCACGCGTGCACAAACCTGTGTGGCCTCAGCTGACCCTTGTGAGCAGCCAGTGATGTGATAAAAATAGTTGGACTGGGGGAG